GACAGGATACGACAGGATGAAGAGGTAAGGAGTGCTCAGTGGTATTTGATAAACTGCAAATTTAAGGCTTACATGTAATGTCATCATTTTAATTAGCTATTCGTTCTGTATATGTTGCTTTGACAAATTATGGATTTTCATATAGTAAAATGTTCTGCAAAACAAACTAAGGTATTGTACCTTTCTGGTAATCAAATGATGATGAAAATACGAGTTTTAAGAAGAATAAACAGGTTACAATGTCGTACTATGGTGAGTTTGAAGTTTTACAGGTTTACAGTGGTTGAGGTGTTCGAGAGTCAGATCAAGTTTTGCAGAAGTTGGTGATACTTAAGAGTTACTCCCTAAATTCAGTATTTATACTACCTGTATTTATTTATACACTGTCCAGTATTAAGACAGTATAAACTGTATAGTGTCAGTGTAGGGGATGGACATCAGCCAGGAGGCATGAAACATCTGCTTGCATCTTGTTGAAGTAAACCTCAAGCAGCAGCAGGTCAGCTGATCACAGGCTGTACTCCATGAAAATCTAGTTCACATTAGAAATTATTCATTCATATTCAAATGTTTTAGATTGATCATCAAACTAATTTTAACATGTCTTAAAATGCAGTTTTTAAATGATTTTATTTATTAAGGGAAAACGTACACGTCCCTATGTGGAAAAAATGATCTCCCTCTCTAATAACTGCAGGATCGCTGTCCTGCTGCATAACCTAAGTGTATTTGAGCTTCTGATCAATCAGTCTGAAGCCCAAATACTTCTTTAGAGTGTGGCATGATGCATTGCTTTTTAAGATTTTTAAGCTGCTTTACTTTGTCAGCCAGGATCTATTTGAGTGACTTATTGATTCAACAACAACAATAATAATAATAATAATAACAATAATAATAATAATTTATTTGAGAGTGTTGATGTGGAAGTATAAAAAAAGGTCAAAAAGAGTTGTGCCATGTCTCTGTGGATCTAGAGAAAGCACATGCTGGGGTGCTGTGGAGGTGATTGAAAGAGGATTTCACGATGCTGGGTCTTTTGACTCAGCGTTTTGAGTTTTAGTTTATTTTCATGTTTATGGTTTATGTTTAAGTTCATTGGGTTTTCTGAGTTCATTTGTTTATTACTTTCCCCGTATGTTTTCAACGCCTCTGTTAAGTCTCCTTTGTCCTTTATGTGTTTCATGGCTGCATGTCTTTTGTTGTCACATCTTTGTTTCATTATGTTTCCTATTTTATTTTGAAGAGGTTCTGTGTTCCTGTGTTTAGCTTTACGTTTCCCCTGTGACGTTGTTATGCTCACTTATCCTCATTATCCTCCTGTGTGTATTAAGTCCGTGTGTTTTCAGTCATTCCTTGTCAGGTCGTCTGCTTTGTTCACGTCATGCATCCAGTTTTTGTCCATGTCTCCATGTCAGGTCCCACGTGCACGGTTTTTTCATGCTTTAATCTTAGTTCACCCAGTTTAATTTATTGTTTAGTTTCACCTTTGCCTTTTGTTTTGTACTTCTTGGCCAGCCTTAATAAACGGCTCATTTTTTGTTATTCCACGTCACGTTTCACATTCTGTTTTGATCTGCATTTGAGTTCTTTTTTGCAATACATACAGTCTGCCTCAGCCAGACTGTGACAGAGGAACTGGACGTCAGGAGTGGCAGAGAGTATGAGGATAGTGGTGAGGTGTCAAGTAAGAGTGACATGGTTTGGGGGGGTTTGGGGGTAGGATTACATCAGGTATTCGCTTTGAGCCCCTTAACTATCCGTGGTTAGAATCATAAACTATGGCAAGCCAAAAGCTGATTCTATTCTTTTGCTTTTATTCAAAATGTTTTTTGAATTTCTGCCAATGAGGAAACAAGGAAAACACTTCTGACTGTCACAGATCACAATCTATTTACATTTTTCTTAAAAAAAAAACTACATTTTCATTTTTTTAAAAAATATAACAGTAGAGTAAGGTTAGGGTTATCATCTTTGATGACCTCAAAGGGTTAATAAGTGCGTTGTTTAAAATCCCTTTCTTGAAACAAATAGAATGTGGTCTGTTATAAAAGAAAGACACATGAATGGAAGTAAAAGAATAACAAGAGATAGAATGTAAGTAAAAAGTGTCCGTACAGGGTTGGAATGCAGCACAGTGAAGAATTCAGGGCTGGTGAGGAACTTGGCGGTAGGGGACTGAAGCAGCAGGGTTAGGCGAGACCTGGGACTGGACTGTGGCAAATTGCTGTCCCTACGTAGCTCTGCAAAATATACCAGAATCGTCAAAATAAAAAAAAGAAAATCACAGGGGAAGAACATGGATCAGGAGTTTGTGCCGTGTAGAAGGGGGCTACCTGGGAATGAGGGTTGCATATCAGTCTCATCAGCTGAAAGCTCATTGGGTAGCTGCTCTTCTGGTCTACTGTCGTTGGTCATTGTCCTACGTATACTTTGATACCTGCAAATTTATGTGTACAGTAACAATTAACGATAATGTTACTAAAAACAAAAAAATGGGAAGTGGCAAATTCATTTCCATTTTTAACTGAAACTTTGGACGAACATCTAGTTTGCGAATCTTCATGTGCATATGTTTGTTTTCTGACCTGCGATTTAGCTGTTCCATCTGCTGTATGGAGTTAGACCTCTGAAGAGTTTGTGGGGCCGGGGGTGCGGTTGGACGTTGCCATGTTGTTGTTCTGTTCACGTGGTCCACATAGAAAATGCGACCATGGCTGTCTATGCGAGCCTCCCAATCTGGATCACACACAATGCAACAGAAGAACACATATAGTAGTTCTCCAAAAGATTCTGTTCATCTGGACGTAGCGTTTTGTGGGAGAAACGTTTCGTCACTCATCCAAGTGACTTCTTCAGTCTGCATCAAGACATATAGTAGCTGTTTTTCATGAAAGAATATAGGTTTCTAAACTAAGGTTTTATGAACAAAAATGACACAGTAGATTATATATAATTATAATCATATATGTATAAAATTTTGGCCTTAAAGTTGCAGAACTACTGACTACAATCTACAATCTAGCTGTTTTTAAGATTAAAATACAAAACTGAATCTGTGGCTTATGGGTTTATTACAAATGAGAAATTCTAGCATTTAAAGCTAAGGTTGCAAATTCAAATTCAGTGGCAAATTCCACATCTGGAAAATAGTAACACACATTTGTGTCAACTTGTCTAGTCGTACATACATGTAATTGGAAAGGCCTATTACAGTATTTTCCACACTGTAAGGTGCACTTAAAATCCTTTAATTTTCTCAAAAATCGACAGCGTGACTTATGTATAAATTCTGGTTGTGCTTACTGACCTCGAACTGATTTTATGTGCTACACGGCGCTCAGAAATCTGTCAAAAAATGTTTTAGTACAACTTCGGTAAGCTACGAAGCCGCACTGCTTGATGGATTGCTGGAGCATTACGGCTGCCATAGTCAAGAGCCTTGCAGAAGAATCTGGGTCCAAAAACTCCGTCCGCTTCAAGTCCCAAAGTCAAACGAACACTGTGGTATCACTGAGAGTTTAAAACTGTCTAAATTCTTTCATCTTTAATAAAATCATCAGCGTTGCTGCTTTACCAGGTGTAACAATTAAGTTTAACATCCAGGCATCCAGGAAAACAGGATTTATTAACGGAGTTACCAGTTAGCAGGAAGTTAGCTCGCTAGTTTCTACCTAAACATGAGCATGTTCTGACTGAGAGATTTCTGAAAATATTAAAACGTACAGCTCTGCTATCACTTCCAACATAAATGAAGACAGGAAACTAAACAGCAATGACGTTTGTAGGGTTACTGAAGTTGGGCTAGCTGGTATATAATGATGTGCTACGTGATCGTAGCGACACAGCTATGTTAGCATAACATAAAAACAGTGAAGCTGGAGGATGAACGCTAACTTTTTTCCACTCGTTAATGGGAGGGTTCCCGATGGTTAGGGATAAATTGCAACGCAGGATGCTGTAAACGGACCAAACTTCAGTCAGGAGAACAACTGAGACAATCCATCCACAATACAAGGTTAGTCATTAATATACTGCAACAACATGGGAATAGAGCAGCTGCAGAGGATTCAACATTAATGAATCAATGGTACGGAAGTGAGGAAGCAAAAAGAATGAGTTGAGTAAAGTTTGACTTATCTGACTGTTTTGTTTCACTTTATAATCCGGTGCGCCTTATGGTCTGAAAGATACAGTATCTAAATTCCTTATCACAGCTCCTGTGCTATATCTTAATAGTTCCTCAAACTGCTTAATCCAGAAGACTTCTAGGGACCCTAGTACCCTATGCATAAACCCTGACTGCTATACACAACCTTCAAACTTGAAGATATCTGGTAAAGAAAATATGTGTATGCGGTTTCTGTGCTGTATTGTGTACTTTAATGTTCTTTAAAACAGACATATACACACACACACTCACCAGGGGGCAGTGGTTCATCTACTCTCTGGTAGCGACTGATGTCATGGCGAACAGATGGCAGGGAGTGAACAGACTGGTGGCCATTGACCTGTTCTGTGGCACCTGGATAAAAACACATAAACAAGCATCAAAATGAATATAAGAAATCCAAAAAAGTTAATTTTTTTATAGTCATGGTTCAGAA